GACAGCACTGAACACCACAAAGTAATAATGACCCTGACCTATCCCTAGAGGTATTTTAGCAGAAGGCTGCGCAACACTTGGCAAGATTGCCTTATTACATAGATTCAAGCCCAGATCTTTAAGAAGTAGAACTTGGGGGCTGGGGATTGACCTCAGTGGTAGAGTGCTCGTGTGAGACCCTGGATTTGAGGCCCTGGGTTTGAGTCCCGGGACCACCTGGAGGAATTAAAAAAGAAAAAAGAAAAGAAAGAGGAAGGGGTACTGGACTAGATAACTGCTTTCTTCAGTTTTGCGAAATCAGGCCTTCATGTCTAGAAATAACAGGGAAATGACTTCAGAAAACCTGGCCCTGAAAACTAGAAAGTTCCTGGGAAGTAGCTCGTAACTCTTGTTTTCAAATTCCTTGAGAATCCACTGTTTGAGAACGATGGTATTACTCCTTGCCCACACCCTTTGCGAACTGACTTCATGCACCAGTGTCGCTTCCCATTGGTTCCACACTCCGAAAGACAACACTTGAGGAGTCTTTCTGCCACCACCGGCTCAAGAATGCAACGAAGGGCATTATTTTCCAACTTTCGTCTTGCAGGGGCAGGAGTTTTGCTCTCCCACGCGGAGTTAGGGAATGAAGCAAGTGCACCCGGCTCGAGAAGGAGAGCTCGAGGCAATGGTACTTGGTCTGCAACGAGGACCCCGCTCCCGTGTGCCAGGTCTCAGCGTTGCAACCGGGCGCTGCTCGTGCCCTGTAGCGCCGACGTCCTGGCCGCGCACCTGACCCCGACACCGCCTCCCCTGTCCCGGCCTCTGCGGTCAGCAGGCTGGTACTTTTGTCACTGTCTCCAGGGACAGCGCGCCCCCAGCTCCTCCTCGGCGCGGTACAGTCGCCCGCAGAGCGGCCGCCCTTACCACAGCACTCGCAGGAACAGCTCGAAGAACCCAGGGAAAACCAAGTCGTCACTGGCGATGGCCCAGCGCCGGCCGAAAAGCACCATGCCCGGCATGGCGCAGGCCCAGCAGCGCACCGAGCAGCTCCAAACCTTCCGGACTCCGCGGGCGAACCGACCCGCGACTCCGCGCAGGCGCCCACGAGGGCGAGGCCTTGCGCAAGCTCGCTCCGACCCGAGGCGCACGCGCAATAACCCCCACGTCGCCCCCCCCCCGCCCTGCGGCAGTCTGCGCCTGCGCAGGCTCGCCGACACAGCTGATGGCTGTTTACTTTTTAAAAACAATACGGAATCTTATTTCTAAAATGAACTATCCAGATCAAAGTATAGCTCCCGAGAAGGCAAAGGACCCTCATACCTCTTTTTTAGCGATGAAAATGTTTCATTTATAGAGAAGTTGGGCAGCACTTAAGGACTTACCAGGCATCCTTTTTTTTTTTTTTTTTTTTTGGTACCGGGATCGAAACCAGGTGCACTTAACCACTGAGCCACATTAACCCTCTTTATATTTCATTTTGAGTCAGGGTCTCGCTAAGTTGCTGAGGCTGGCTTTGAGCTCGTGCTCCTTCTGCCTCAGCCTCCTCAGCTGCTGGGATTACAGGTGTGCGCCGCCCCGCTCGGCCCTACCAAGCATCTTTAACAAGGGATAACATCCTATCGTTTTGTCTCATGACTTTTGGAAAAATAAAGATCTTTTTATATTATTTTCTGTTCTTTTAGGTTTAACTTCACCATTTGCACGTTGCAGGAAGCAGTCTAAGAGACGTGGCATTTCATCATGAATTTGTATTAACTTGGAGAAATTTATCTTAAATCTTTGATTCATACTCCCTCCATTTTCCCGTTTGGGACTTGATTTTCTTGATTCGGGTAACTTCTATGATTCAGATGCAATGAACATCCTTGCATTTAGTGTTTTCTACTCTTGCCTACTGTTTTCCCCAGGTGATTGTTCAGGATTTTGAGTAGTTGTTTTTCTGAGAATTCTTTAAAATCCTGAGATCTTCAATTATCAGATTGTGAAGTAAATAAATCACGTTTTTAGTTTCAGGACACAGCAATTTCCTATGACAAACCCATTTATTGTCATAGAAACTTTATCAGATGAGTAAACAGGTTTTATCTTTTCATTGTATTTTGGCAGAGTCAAGTGTAGTGTTGGTTAACTGAAGTCTAAAGACTCACACCTTTTAAGTGCCCGAGGTGAAAGTAGGACAGATTTGCACTGTATATTTTAGTATTTGTTATGGCTTGAATATGAGTGTACCACCCAAAGCTCATGAGACAATGTAACCGTGTTCACAGGTGAAGCAATTAGATTGAGAGCTGTTACATGATCAGTGGGTTAATCCACTTGATGAATTAAACATTTGAAAGGATTGCTGTACTGGTGTTAACTGTAGGCAGGTGGGGCATGACTGGAGGAAGTGGGTCACTAGGGGTGACCTGCCTTTGGAGTGTGTGTGTGTGTGTATGTGTGTATGTATGTGTGTGTGTGTGTGTATATATATATATATATATATATATATATATATATATATATATTAATATTTACTTTTAGTTATAGGTGAACACATCTTTATTTTATTTTATTGTGGTGCTGAGGATGGAAGCCAGTGCCTCATGCATGCTAGGCTAGCGCTTTACTTCTGAGCCACATTCCCAGCCCTTGGGATTTATATTTTGTCCCTGGCATCTCACCCACTCTCTGCTTCCTGGCTGCCATGAATTGAGCATCACAACCACCAGGATATTCTGTTTCACCTGGGGCTCAGAATAATGGAGTGGCAGACCATGGGCTGAGACCTCTGTTATCAAGAGCCTGAAATAAAAATTTCCTCCTTTAAGTTATGCTTGTCAGGGATTTTGGTAACAGTGACAAAAAGCTGATTAATAGTTTTATTAAAAATTATCCTTGGGTTGGGCTGGGGATGTGGCTCAAGCGGTAGTGCGCTCGCCTGGTTTGCGTGCAGCCCGGGTTCGATCCTCAGCACCACGTACAAACAAAGATGTTGTGCCCGCCGATAACTAAAAAAAAAATAAAAATAAATAAATGTTAAAAAAAAATTATCCTTGGGTGGGATTGTGGCTCAGCAGTAGAGCACTACAACGTGCTGGGTTCAATCCTCAGCACCACATAAAAATAAATAAATAAACAAACAAAAAAATCAAATAAAGGTATTGTGTCCAACTATAACTAACTAAATAACTAAATAAATATTTTTTTTAAATTTATCTTTGCTTTGTCATTTAAAACGATTAGTGCTGTGTTGCAACTTGCTTTTAAATTTGCAGGTATAAAAGCAGGCAATACTTCAAACTTGCATGATAAACACCTAAAGAACCTATGCAAGATTCCTCACCGTAGCGGGGCAAGGTGATATACACCTGTAATACCAGTGACTAAGGAGGCTGAATCGGGAGGATCTCAAGTTTGAGATCAGCCTCAGAAACTTAGTGAGATACTGTCTCAAAATAAAAACTTCTTTAAAAAGGTCTGGGGGGGGGCTGGGGTTGTGGCTCAGTGATAGAGCACTTGCCTAGCACGTGTGAGGACCTGGGTTTGATCCTTAGCACCACATAAAAACAAATAAACAAAATAAAGGTATTGTGTACAACTAAAAAATAAATATTAAAAGAAAAAAGGTCTGGGGGAAGCTGGGCCTTGTGGTGCATGCCCATAATCCCAGCAGCTCTGGAGGCTGAGGCAGGAGGATGGCAAGTTTGAGGCTAGCGTCTACAATTTAGGCTGTAAGCAACTTAGTGAGACCCTGTCTCTAAATAAAAAAATAAAGAGGCCTGGGGATGTGGCTCAGTGGTTGAGCACCCCTGGGTCCAATCCCCAGTACAAAAAGGGCTGGGGATGTAGCTGAGTGGTATAGTAGGGGTTTGAACCCCAATAATATAAAGTATACTTTCATTGTAAAGGTTAACTCAGATAGGTGGGAAGGCCCATTCTAGGCAGGTGTTCAGGGTCCCTGAAAATTCCACATCTGACCACTAGAGGGCAAAACAACAAAAATCCCTGGTGAAGCCCAGACCTGGATTCCAGCTCAGGTACCCTCCTTAATAAGATGTCATCCTAATTGACCACAAAAAAATGGTGGTGACATCTTAGCCAATTTTATTTTCACTTGGGAATAAGGACTAAAGGAGGCTTTCACATGCTGAGGTTCCAAATCTTGTTCTGTGTATGGTGCTTTACAGTGAGTGACCCCAGCTTGTGTTATTTACATGCATGAAGACAGGTATAAACCCCCTTTCCCCCAGTCTGGGCAGCAAGTGGTTGGCTTGACCTACTGCCACTGGAATTCCCACCCTTCCTGCATACTCTGAATTGTCCAAGGAGGATGAAAACAGACCACACCCACTAAACCAAGATTAGGATGCTGAGAAAAAAATGTAGACTGCTACATAAAGCAAAAACATGGAAGCAATGGGCTGGGGTTGTGGTTCAGCGGTACAGCGCTTGCCTGGCATGTCCAAGGCCCTGGGTTCAAACCTCAGCACCCCATATAAATAAATAAAATAAAGGCATTGTGTCTAACAACAACTAAAAAATAAATATTAAAAAAAACATGAAGCAAAAGGGGAAATAATATGAGGATTAAACTATGCGATTATGCTGCCAATTCAGAAAGCTGTTACGATCCACATAAATAAACGTACAACTCTTCCAGCTCCTTTCCCCCACAAGACAATTTAAGGCAGGAAGTAAAAATACTATATCCTCCCTGTGGTAAGCACTGTTAGTGTTCAACACTTTCATATTGATGGTGGATCAGGTAAAATCAAAGTCATATACTTATGCATAAATCGAAGAAGTGTTACAAATCAATATAATGGCAAAATCGAGAGGAGGAATTCTAGTATTTCTACAAAATAGAGAAAAAGTTTTCCAGATAATGTGAAATGCTTGCAGGCTGAAAGAGCTTTTGCTATCAAATGAAAACAAATCATACCAACATAGAATGTTTAAAAGTCTAATTCGACAGCATATAAATAAATAAAATAAAGGTCCACCAACAACTAATAAAAAGTCTAATTCATAAAAAATTCTGTGTTTATTAAAGCATTTATTTAGGATAATAACATAAGTCATGCAAGAGCTCAGTTAAAAACAAAGAATATTAGGAATGGTAATTGGTGCTTTCAATTTAAAAAGAATTGTAAATCACTTTACTATCCAATATTGATAGGAAAAATCATTAGAATCTGAGCATGGACATGGTTGTGGCAATCTTTTGGGAACTGCAAATGAAAGTGATAGATAAGTTGTGCTCTGTTTCTCAGAAAAGTAGGGTCTCATATCCAAAGTAATCATTACAGTCCCTCCAGTCACACTTGGATAGCAAGCAGTCCAGAGCCCTTGCCAGTGAGTTCTTTGGAACTCTTGGGGAAGTCTTAAGGGAGAAGAGCAGGCTCCTTTGGCAACTCTTAGTTGACACCCCATCTACATTCAGAACCTTAAAATTTTGGTTCTGAGGGACTTGCAAGTCACCAACACTAACCTTAAATGTAGTGTTGTGATGTCCACGGAAGGATTTCCACGGCTGGCAGAAATAAACTTGGACAGATGTACAAAATTCAACATACTGTCTCAGATTTCAAACAAATATGACTCATCTTTTGGCAAAAAATAAATGTAGTGGAATTCAAATTTGATAGATGTTAGAGTAGATAATTTACCAACTGCCAAGAAGTACGATTTCATTGTAGACACACTCAACCTTCAAGAAGTTTTTTTTTTTTTAAAGTCTGCACTTACTCATTGTAAAATCATGACTTTTGAAACTACCCCAATTAAACTGCACACTGAATTTATTAATACAGAAGGGTATGGAAAACAACAACCCGCAGGGAGAAAAGAAAAGTAATGGGCTCTGGACTTTCACAATTTCCCATTCTACAACTATTTCTCTGACTGCCCAGCCCACATATTCTGCTATGATTAAGTGTGTATGATTAAGTCTCACTTAACTCTATAAAAATCAGATCCCCATTGTAACCAGTTGCCATTTTCCTCCTGAAAAAGTGCCCCTCCGTTGCTTAATAAAGCATAGGGGGGTCCCTCAAGGTCTGTCCCCTTGTGTGTGTGTGTGTGTGTGTGTGTGTGTGTTTGCTTTCAAATACAGCATTAAGTTTCTTTGTGTTAAAAAAAAAAGATAAGGCAAGATGCATTGGACAGAAATCTTCTGGTTCTTTTCCTCTGCATTCTTAAGGACCACTGATGACTGCAACAAGAGTTAAGTTTCTGATTTTCCACATTGAGCATCTGGTCCCTTTGCTGTGGTAAGAATTGTGTCCCTGGACATTGATGGTCTTTGGCACTTAGGCTGGCAAACTGAGCTAGAATTGCAAAGAAAGGGGAGAAACAATCGGTTACTGAAGTTGACAAGCTCAGTTTCTTGAGCTAACCCTAAACGTGACCTTGGTGAGGCATGGCCACAGGTGTTCTTTTTCGTTTGTGTGTGCTGTTTTTTTTTTTTTTCTTTTGCAGTCGAAGCGCGTTCGTTGTGCCATCTGGAAAAGCCACGGTTTCGGTCTTCTTTCCTTTCCTTGGAAAGCAATGCTGGGCATCTGGAATAGCCTAGACTTTGAGGGGGAACTTCTTCTAGCATCTTGGTTCAGTGAATAGGACACATTCTCTCCTTCATGTCACAACTCGAGGCTCTGTGCAAAGAGAGGACCTTGGCTCCTGGACCAAACACGCGGCCAGCCACCGAACGCAGAAAGGGACTAGAGACAAATGAGCGCGCGGTTCCCGGCGGCCAGGGGCTCACAGCAAAGCGCCTCTGAACCCCTGGATGAGGCGGAGACATTTTCGACATTCCCTAAGGAGTGAAGACCCACCGGAGCCGCCGGGTCCACCCTCAAGCCGCAGTGCTGAGTCCGGAGCTGGAGACTCTGGGACCTGGAGGGAGGCGCGGCCTGGGCCCTTGGAGCACACCTGCTTGGCGAGGGGAGGTCGGAAGCCTGGGAGCAGCAGTGGCCTCTGGAAGCATCCGCGCCTCGGCCTGCTCGGGAGCAATAATGGCCCCAGGAACCGTAGTCCCGGTTCTCCTCTGGACCCGTAATGGCCCTCGGAATCGGCTGCACCCAGATCCGTCCAGAGCAGCAACCATCAGCAGCGGGGACCCGGTCACCGCTGACCCCTCGGGAGCTGAAAGGCCACAGCTGCGCATTCCCAGGAGGTGCAGGTAGTGAGTGCAGGAACCGCGTGGCGGGTTATTGCGCGAGGCAGGGCAGGGTTTAGTGGCTTCAGGAGAGACAGATGGGGGGCAGCAGTCACTGGGACTGCCGGGACTTCTGCCTGCACTCCTCCCCCCCCCCCACTTATGCTCCAGTGTCTCCAGGTGTGTCAACCTCCAGGAGCACCTCAGATCTTTGACTTTCCCTCTCAGATCTGTCCTTGCAGAATCAAGCCGTGTAGTGAGGACAAGTCTCTTATTGCCTCATTCGATGGAGGAATCTTGGGCTTGACGTGGGCTTCATCAAGGTCTCGGCTGGTTTGTGGGCACTTCCAGGCCAGCATGCCTTCCACTGTATTCCACTCAAGTCACAGTTTCTTAATAAAATACCCCTTTGAGCAGCGCCACTCAAGTTTCTACAAAGTCCAACCATGCTGACTGCATTCGTTATTCAGAGAATCCTATGGATTTTATGATCTTAAGTGGTTAAAAGAGTAAGAAAACAGATGAGTGTTGTAGAGCAGAATTTCTTTTTCAGCTGACATTTAAATGATGGCAGATGTTTTCATTTGGATTTGAAGTTCATTCACCCTGAGACTCCCACTTATTCGTTCACTGCTAGAAACATGTAGGTGGGGAAGGCCTAATGGGACAGCCTCCCATGAGGTGTCCTTTTAAAAAATAGGTTTTTTTTTTTTAGTTGTAGATGGACACAATATATTTATTTATTTGCTTTTATTTTTATACGGTGCCAGGGATCAAACCCAGTGCCTCACGAAGGGAAGGCTAGGGAAGCGCTCGGCCACTGAGCCACAGCCCTGGCCCCAGTGCTTGCATTTTCCATCCCCAGATCTGCACCTGTTTCCACATCTTCCATGTTTTCCAAGAGCAGAAGAAAACGAGTAAATCCCTGCTCAGTTTTTCTATTCATGTGTTTTCTCTACTTTTGCTTACAATACTCCATAGGAGTCAAATAAGTGTTCAAATCTGAAAATGGGAAAATAGAAATAGTTAAAAATATGGTCAACTACAATGGTTATTTTTATCCTTTCCCCTTTACTCTCTCCTTGTTACCATTATTACAGTTTTGGGTTTTTTTTTTTTTGTTTCTTTGGACTCTTGCAGAAACTCCCATTCTCTACTACTTCTTTCCTTCACTGGCTCAAGTGCATTTTCTGCCTTGAGTATTTCTCCTAAAACCATAATTTGATCATGCTGCCTCCATGTGGAAAAGCACTTCAGAGGCTCCCTGAGTGACCAGGAAAACTAGGTTATCATTAAACTGGGAGTGGGAGATGGTGAAAAATCAGGTTTGAAAAAAAGGCCAGAATTGGATTTTAGCCATTTTGAGTCAGCTGTGTTAGCATGAGGTAAAGCAGAGATAGCAAGAGGGCAGGGATTGTGTTGGGACTTCAGTGGACAGCCTGCGCTGGAAATCAGCATGGAAAGCTGTGTTGGGAGGTGGACAAGGAGGTGAGCCCAGGACTCTCCCATGTGCAAAGTGCTACAGAAGGTGGGACTGGGTGGGGCTGGTGGTAAGGCCAGCGTGAGGACCAGAAGCATGAAGTTTTAGGAGCCAAGGAAATGAAAAGATCTGGGAATTAGAGGAGAACTGTATCAAATGCTGTTCACAGTCAAGCCCAAGGACAGAACTGGCCATGGGATTCAGTCCTGGGGAGGTCCTGTGACTCCTTGAGGATTTGTTTAGCTGGGTCTCGAAGGGTTTGAGAGAGTGGTACAATTGGATTTGATCTATTCATAATTTTAAATAATTGTTGACCCAATGGGAAAAGAGGATTTGGTCAGTAGCTATAGGAGTTGAGGTCAAGAAAATATTGTTTAGTTTTGATATGATGGGAGGAATAAGAATGGGGATGAGCCAGCAGAGAAGGAAAATCTTTTGACTTACTTGTGTTTTATGCTCTCCTAATTGGAAAGTGATAAGCCAGGAGTAGACACGTCATTGACAACGGTGGTATGCACAAAGCTGCATTAAGTCCTCTCTATGGAGCCCCTGCTTTCTGCTGATGGTTCAGGATGTGATGGGGACCATCACCATCTTACTGTAGAGGTGATGATAGTAAAGGATGCAGTTATAGTGCTGGTGGGAGTTTTTGTGAATGGGACAGTTTGCTCAGAGGATGCACATTAAAAGTCAGTTTACAGGTAAGCTCTATATCCCTTACCAGGAAGGCATTTCTCCTCTTCTGGAATGTGTTAATATGGAGAAAGGAAATTCAGGGTTCCCAAACTGGGAATCGTGGACAATCAAGTCATGCTATTGCTGATACCTCTTGCAGCAGGCTGTGGACTTTCTTGCAATGAAATGTGAAATTAGAACATGTGTTGCCTGGCTTGCTTGTTGCTTTGGTGATTGTGGCCAATGCAGAGTGGTTCCATTAGGCTAGAAGAGGAACAGGCTGACAGGAATAGCAATTGAATCTGAGGCTTGTTGAACTTAAGATCTGAGACATGTGAATCTGGACTTGAGGATGGTTCTGGGACTGGTGTGAGTGGCCTGGGAATCCCAGAGTTGCAGCCGGTATGAAGTGTGAGCAGTGTAGTGAGGCCTGTGGCCTCAACTGGTGGTATTTCATCTCAATGCAGGTGATCAGCATTAGAATGGCTTTGCACAGTGCCATCTGTCTCCCCCACCCACGCCGCTTTGGTACTGGAGATAGAACCCAGTGGTGCTCTGCCACTGAGTCATATCCCCAGCCCTTTTTAATTTTTTTTGGGGGTGCTGGGATTGAACTCAGGGCCTTGTGCATATGAAGCAGGCATTCTACCAACTGAGCTATGTCCCCAGGCCCCTTTTTAATTTTTTTATTATGACACAGGGTCTCACTGTTTGCTGAGGCTGTCCTTGAAATTTTGATCCTCCAAGCCACTGGGAATACAGGCATGCTCCACCATGCCTGACAACAATGCCTATCTTATTGGCTTTTCCCTTGATGGATCCTCTTCAGTTGCTCCATTCACTCAACCACCCTCCCTCTCTTAAAGTATCCATCTAGTTTTAAGCTCATTCCAAATGTCATCCTTTCCAGCCCCTCAGCATTGTTCTCTCTCTCTCTAACCCATTCACATCTCATCTCTGGCTCTGTTGTCGCCTCTCTTTAGCTTTGTTTTACTTCTGGCTGATACTCTGCTTTATCTGCTTATTCCCAGCTGCTCCCCTATTCTCTGATGCTCCCATCTCCCAAGGTGCCTTTCTGCAGTTGTTGAGGGGCTGCACTAGTAGCTCGCTTCCCTCCTCTCTGTGCCTATCTGTTTAGCAGCTTTAGCTCTTCCTCACTTCATTCTTCTCAGAACCTGTTCTTCATTTCTCTTCACACTTTCTATTTCATCACAACCTTCTGGATCGTCCTTCTGTTATGTAAAACTGGAATTAGAGGTTGTGGAAAAGACTGTGATAATGACTTAACTAGCAAACTCTACCTTTCCCTGTGTGTCCCCCTCCTTGGACCATTGCCAGGAAGGCATCTCCTGTGAGACACTTCCTGATTTCAGATTTAGGATTTCTATATAGTTCCCATAGAACTTTCTTTCTTCTTTGTACTCCTCAATGTCCTCCTGTGTTTCCTGCTTCCAGACTCTAATTTAGGATCTGCCACCTTCTCTGTTGTTTTCCAACATGAAAAGCAATTAAAAATTCTTTTTTTTTCAGGTAAGAAATTTGGTCAGTTACCCAGAACCCTGTGAGTGAACAAGCAGTCCAGACTGACATGATCACATGCATTGTGAAGATGCAAAGACGTTCATCTTTATTAAATTTCCCCAAGAAATGTGCTGTGTTCTGCCAAAGCTCATAGCACATGACCTCTTAAAATGCACACTTTCTTTAAAATGATAGACGTGTCAAAGCACATTAAAGAACGGCTGCTTAATGTTCACAACTCAATAATGAAGACCAAAAATCAAAATTTGTACTGAGGGCTGGGGATGTGGCTCAAGCGGTAATGCACTCACCTGGCATGCACGGGGCGCTGGATTCGATCCTCAGCACCACATAAAAAAATAAAATAAAGATGTTGTGTCCGCTGAAAACTGAAAAATAAATATTAAAAAATTCTCTTCTCTCTCTCTCTCAAAAAAATTTGTACTGACAAGAATTTGGGTTTACTTCCACTGAGCTAGAAATATAATAGACATATAAGTATAATAGCTCAAAAAAAAAACCTCTCTTAAAAGTGAAAATATTTATTCATTTTATATTTTTAAAAAATTGTTCTAGTTATTTATCATGACAGTAGAATACAATTTGACACATTGTACACAAATGAGCACAACTTCTCATTCCTCTGGCTGTACATGGTGCTGAGTCACACCAGTAGTGTAATCATACTTGTATATACAGCAGTAATGTCTGTCTCATTTTCTGGTCTTTCCCATCTCCACCACCCTGCCTTTCCCCTCACTCCCCTCTGTATAATACAAAGTTCCTTCATTCTTCCCTACTGCCCCCACCCCACCCCCACTATGGATCAGCATCCACTTATCAGAGAAAACATTTCGTCTTTGGTTTTCTGGGACTGGCTTATTTCACTTAGTATGTTCCATCCATTTACCTGTAAATGCCTTAATTTCATTCTTCTTTATGGCTGAGTAATATTTCATTGTGTATATCACATTTTCTTTATCCATTCGTCTGTTGAAAGGCATCTAGGTTGGTTCCACAGTTTAGCTATTGTGAATTGAGCTGCTATAAACATTGATGTGGCTGCATCACTGTAGTATGCTAATTTTAAGTCCTGTGGGTATAAACTGAGGACTGGAATAGCTGGGTCAAATGGTGGTTCCATTCCAAGTATTCTGAGGAATCTCCATACTGCTTTCCATAGTGATTACACCAATTTACAGTACCATCAATAATGTATGAATGTACCTTTAACCCCATATCCCATATAGGTTTTTGGCACCTTTGTCTAGTATGAGATAACTGTATTTATGTGGGTTTTTCTCTGGGTCTTCTATTCTGTACCATTGGTCAATGTATCTGTGTTGGTGCCAATACCATGCTATTTTTGTTATTATGGCTCTGAAGTATAGTTTTAAGTTCTGGTATTGTGATGTCTCCTGCTTCATTTTTCTTGCTAAAGATTGCTTTGGCTATTCTGGGTCTCTTATTTTTTCAAAGGAATTTCATGATTGCTTTTTCTAGTTCCATGAAGAATATCATTGGAATTTAATTTTTTTTAGTTGTAGATGAACACAATACTTTGTTTTATTTTTATGTGGTGCCAGGATCAAACCCAGTGCCTCATGCATTCTAGACAATCGCTTTACCACTGAGCCATAACCCTAGCCCAGTCATTATGATTTTAATAGGAATTGCATTAAATCTGTACAACAGTTTTGGTAGTATGGCCATTTTGACAATATTAACTCTGACCATCCAAGAGCATGGGAGATCATTCCATTTTCTAAGGTCTTCTTCAATTTCTTTCTTTAGTTTTCATTGTAGAGGTCTTTCACCTCTTTTGTTAGATTGATTCCCAAATATTTTTTTGAGGTTATTGTGAATGGGTATTTTTCCTAATTTCTCTGGCAGTGGCTTCATCGCTTATATATAAAAATGCATTTGATTTATGGATATTGATTTTACATCCTGCTACTTTTATGAATTCATTTATTAGTTCTAGAAGTTTTCTGGTGGAATTTGTTTGATATTCTAAATATAGAATCATCTCGTGGGCAAATAGTAATAGTTTGAATTTATTCTTTTCCTATTCGTATCCCTTTAATTTCTTCCTCCTAATTGCTCTGGCTAGAGTTTCAAGAATGATGTTGAATAGAAGTGGCCTAAGAGGGCATTCTTGTCTTCTTCCAGTTTTTAGAGGGGATGCTTTCAATTTTTCTCCATTTAGAATGATGTTGGCCTTAGGCTTAGTATAGACAGCTTGTACAATGTTGAGGTATATTCCTACTATCCTTAGTTTTCTAGTGTTTTGAACATGGAGAGGTGCTGTATTTTGCCAAAAGCTTTTTCCTCTTGTTTTTCATAATGTGGCTACTCTGGACACACTCTGGGGGACACCAGTAGGCTGAACTATTGGCCTGTCATTCTAGGCTCCTCTCCAATGGTCTTGATCCACATTTCCAATACCCCTCTCCCACACGTCTACCATGATTGGCGATGCCACTGGTTAGGGCTCTTTGTTGCTCTAGGACCAAGGTGGGCACAGTCCAGACTCCTTGCCCCTTGGTGCTTCTGTCCCTAGGAATGTCAGGGTCCCCTAGTACATGTCTCCCAGGACCAGCTTTCCAGACTCCCTGGGATGTGATGTGCTGTCTTACCTGCTTCTAGTCTCCTGAACCAGAAATCATGTGCTTGTGGCTGTCCCCAGTCACTATATGGTTGTTATGGTTTAGATATTATGTGTCCCCTAAATCTCATGTCTGAGACAATGCAAGGAGGTTTAGAAATGAAGTGATAACCCAATAAGTGAATTAATACTGATAGTAATTACTGGGTGGTAACTGAAGGCAGGCAGGGTGTGGCTGGAGGAAGTGGGTCCCTGGGGGTTGCTTTTGGGGTTTAGATTTTGTGCTTGTTGAACAGACTCTTTATCCACATCTCTGCTTCCTGTTAATGTCCAGAACCACCTTCCTCCACCACATTCTGAGCTACAAGGAATGGAGTCAACCTTCTATGGACTGAGACCTCTGAAATTGTGAGCCCCCAAGTAAACTTTTCCTCTAATTGTTCTTGTCAGGTCCTTTAGTCACAGCAGTGACAAAACTGACTAAAACAATGGTCTTTCAGTACATGCCCCAATTTTCCAGATGGCCTGTGGGGCAGGGATGTTGACTCCACCCCTTCCCAGAGCCCACACAGTACCTAAAGCAGATCTAGCACCCACTTAACTTCCGCAGGGCGACATACTCAACATGACCAGCAGATGGCACCAGGGCTTCTGCTAGAGCTGCCAAGACCTTGTACTTTGGGTTGGATGGAGAGAAATCTTAGGTTTTCCCAGAAGACTGTGACAGCCCCTCTCCTGGAGCCACGCGTGTGTATATTCTTTTGTGATTTCTGCCTGTTTGGGGAGATGAGGGATGCTGGCTGATTCCAGTTTCCAGAAGAAACCCAGGATTTTCCAATTCAGAGAGGGTCTAGGGACTGAAGAGAAGGCAGTTCTATGTGAGGCAATGGCAGGAATCCCATGCTCAGAAGCCTAGACCTGGGACCTGGGTCAGCCTCATCACTGCTGGCCCAAGGAGGTGCCTTGGAAATTGCATTGTACAAATGGAGGAGACCCTAGGCTTCCTTTAGCCCCCCAGTACAGACATGGCCCAGTTGGAGCAGGAAAATGCCTGGCAGCCTGGTGAGACTGAGGTCAGACCTGAGGCTGAATCCTGACTCCATGGACAGTGGCGCCTGAAGTCCAGGCACCTTAAAGCATTGTGCCTTTGGGTGACCTTAACGTTTCTCTTCTTCAAAAGTAGTCGAAGGCTTGAAATGAGAGGTCATGGAAGCATGTCCAGCACATGCCATGCATCATGCTCACTGCAGGCCAGTGTGGCTTCCTATCCTGCACACAGGATAGAGCACCTGCTTTAGCAAGACAGTTAGTTTTGGTATAGATCAGAGACATCTGCATGCAGCCCTATACTTACAATGTAGATAATGCACAAACAGACATTTTTAAAAATTTTACTCCACTTGATCATGGTGCACTATCTTTTTGATATGTTTTTGTATTTGATTTGCCAGAATTTTATTGAGAATTTCTGCATTAATGTTCATTACAAATACTGGTCTGAAGTTGTCTTTCTTTGATGTGTCTTTGCCTGGTTTTGGAATCAGGGTGATACTGGCCTCATAGAACGAGTTTGGAAGTATTCCCTCTTTTGCTGTTTCATGAAATAATTTGAAGAGTACTGATATTATTTCTTCTTTAAAGGTCTTGTAGAACTGGGCTGTGTATCCATCTGGCCCTGGGTTTTCTTGGTTGGTAGGCTTCTGATGGCAGCTTCTGATGACATCTTCTATCTCATCATTTGAAATTGCTCTGTAAATTGTGTATATCATCCTGATTCAATTCGGGCAAATCATATGACTCTAGAAATTTGTTGATGCCTTTGATATTGTCTATTTTTTTGGAGTGTAAGTTTTCAAAATAATTTCTAATTATCTTCTTTATTTCTATAGTGTCTGTTGTGATATTTCTTTTATCATCATGTAGGTTAGTATTTTGAGTTTTCTCTCTCCTTCGTTAGCATGGCTAAGGGTTTGTCAATTTTATTTATTTTTTCAAAAAACCAGCTTTTTGTCAATTGAACTGTTTCTATTTCATTGATTTTCACCCTGATTTTAATTATTTCCTGTCTTCTACTACTTTTGGTGTTGGTTTGTTGTTCTTTTTCTAGGGCTTTATGATGTAATGTCAGGTCATTTATTTGTTTTTTCTTCTTTTAATGATTAAGCTCAATGCAATGAACTTTCCTCTTCATAGTTTCCCAGATATTTTGATATGTTGTATTGGAGTTTTCATTTACTTCTAAGAATTTTTTAATCTCCTCCCTGATGTCTTCTGTTATCCATGCATCATTCAATAGCATACTATTTAGTCTCTAGTGTTGGAGTAGTTTCTATTTTTAATTTTATCATTGATTTCTAATTTCATTCCATTATGGTCAGATAGAATGCAGAGTAGTATCTCTATTTTTTTGTATTTTCTAGGACTTGCTTTGTGGTATAACTTATGGTCTATTTTGGAGGAGTATCCATGTGCTGCTGAGAAAAAAGTGTATTCACTCATTGATGGATTTAATATTCTATATATGTCTGTTAAGTATTCATTATTGATTGTTTTATTGACTTCTATAGTTCTTTGTTTAGTTTTTCTTTGGAAGATCTATCCAGTGGTGAGAGAGGTGTATTAAAGTCACCCAGTATTTTTGTGTTGTGGTCTATTTGATTCTTGAAGTTGAGAAGGGCTTGTTTGATATACATAGAT